CAATTTTGCCATTTTCCGTAACACTACGTTAACATGCATGCAAGATTAATTGTTTTGGTGTGGTTGATGTGCGACCACGAGTGAAGACGGAGCGACAAGATTTAGGGAGCCAAAAACGATTCACGAGGAACGCGTGTCAGTCGAAAAGCTATTCTCTCGTTTACCATATGTAAGGACAATTGGGCAGTAACAATTTTTGGCGAATGGCAAATTTCTCAGTCGGTTATAGCTTCCGTTTTCGATCCAGAAGCACCCTTTAAAGACTATGATTTACTAAAGATCGTACAGCTTTCTACCAGCTTTGAAGAAATAGATGCAGTAACCTAGAATTACCAGGTTAGCAAGTTTGTGATGGAGGTGGCCAGGAAGTTGGGGGAGCGAAATCCACCAAAGGCCGTTCATGAAATAATATTTAAGTCAATTTGGAATTGTTGTTATTAAAAATGCTCATCAAAATTCAAGTGTTTGATCTGAGATCAAAACCATGCTTCATCTCAGATCAAGATCCTTAAGATTTTCATCTGCGTGTACAGTACTTGCATTGAGCGTCTAAATATCTCTTGGAAAACAATCTTTGCTAAGGTATTCAGTTCAAAACAATATTTCTTTTTTTATTATTTCTGTTGGATTTCAATGGACCGTGCGTATAAATCTTTCTCCAGACACTGTCATAGTTCTAAACTAAAGTCTAGTCTTTTCTAATGCGCGCATAGAGGAAATATATTGCCTTCTGTAAGACAAGCTCATATGGCTTTGTCAAACCTCATGAAGATGGGGAAATGGCATCTTAAAAGTTGCCCTTATTGCGGGGCTTACACGGAGTGTAAACCGCAGTATGTCATGATCCAAGATATCTATTCTTGGTGGGATAGAATTCTGACGACACTCAGGCGAGATATTCAATGTGAAAGTTTATTTAGGATGAGGCAGCCAGCCTTGTAGTAGAAGCATTGTACTAGAGCCAAAGAAAGGGAATATGAAGTTGAAAGTAAACGCTACAGAACTAAATACCTAACTTTTTTAACACTGACAAACGTGAACTCAAATTATCATTAATATAGCCATTTTTAGCGGAAACAGATGTCCAGCACCCGTCCCTCTGAAAGAGTCTGTCGGGAACACCAGCATTAGCTGCAGCAGAAGCACCACTGGCTCTTAAGGAAGGTGTGCTGAATAGAGAAATATCTGGAACAATATCCCTAAAGCAAGATTTGAAGTAATCTCTTATACATGAGTAACTTAGCGGCTTGTTAACAGATACTAGTCTGTGACCTAATTTAAACTTGTACAAGGCCCTAAAGACATAACGGCTTGCCCCAACTGGAAGCTTTTCAACCTCTGATAAATGACGCCTGAAAATGTTGACAAGGCAGGTAGCGATAGTGGAGCTCTCTGAAATTACAACTTGGCGCCCTTTCTTACCTTTCTGTCTTACCTCTATCAACGTTAATAGTTAGGTGATCATGTGAAGATGAAACCGTGAAACAACAATGTAATAGGAAAAAAATCCGAGTCTCAGATAGTTAAAAGCTGCAATGCATTCTGATAAAAAGTGATGAGTTTGAGAATTCGCATTCCCTATATTCTTTTCCAATCCTGATTGTGATGCTGCTCGCTCGCTACGCTCGCTGCCCAGCAAATATACTCTTTCCTATGTACAAGGTGACTTAATTTAATTGGTGTAATTTTGTATTTAGGTTTTTTCTTTCCTTGAGAATTTTATATCTTTTACTTTACTTTTCACCTTGTATCTAATTTTGCTATGGTTTGGTGAAAAACAAAAATAACAACAATTCTCCTTCGAGATAACCGAAGGTTTAAAGCAATACTGCAAAGGAAGAACAAAAGCGCCGCTGCATTCCTTTCAATGTATGTAGTGAAAGTGTTTAGATATTTTAACTTTGATGTTAAAAACTTCAGCTTTAAGAGTTACACAATGACGTATATAAGATTTCAGCGATTAATGAGCACTACAGCCGGGTACATTTCTTGATATGGTAAAAGTATCAATAAGTAACCAAAAGAAAAAATGAAAGCGTGGTACAAACGGCATGTAGACATTGAAAAAACCAATCTGCATCAAACTGAGCATTGTATACCTGTAGATATTTAAGTATTCCATGACAATGTGCAGGTGTGTTCATATTAACACTTCCGATGGATTAACTCTCCTGGTTATCGCCGTTTGAAAACCTTAAAGGTTTAAGCACAGTAACTGTTCATTACCAAAACAGTGTTACGGACGGTGTCTGTCCTTAAGGCACATACCACACATTTAAGCTCTCTTGGCTTCTCCAAAAAGAGTGATTTAAGTATAAAAAACACCACTCATTAGCTAGACCACACAGTTAATTCACAATTATTCTTCGAGCGCGCGTTGGATATGAGATGATAGATAGCCAACGAGGCGCGTGCGCCGAGCTGGCTATAATCACCTCATATCCAACAAGCGCGAGT